GAAAAAAAATTGTCCTGTCCCTTGACGCTAAGGAGGCAGAACAGGAAGAGATGGTGCTGGATTTGGAGCCAGTATGCCTGAGTTTTAGTCTCTCCTGCCACAGACTATGACCTTCCCACTCTTAATAATTAGTATCTTGTATCCAGTTCCCTCGCCTCAAAAACAGGCATGTTAATTTCATAAAAATGACCCTTTCTGAAAGCCACTACTCCCTGTGAGCACACTGCATGTGTTCATGGCCAGATAGCCAGAGTTCACAACAGAGTTGAATCAAGTAACACCAATCCCCAATACTAAGAACATTCAAGGTAGAACATCTTGGTACAACAGCCCTTGAACATCATTTTCAAAGTATTTCTCACTCTGGAAACAAAACATTCCTAACCCAAGATTGAAGGCCTTTTCTTAGTTTGATTAGAAAACTTTCATAACTGAAGAAAGCTCTGCTCCAAAGCTCAAAGCAAGTAGGTTTTGAGTGCAGAGCATCATTTGTGAATAGGTATGAGGCTGAATTTAGGTTTTCTGTTCATGGTGACAGTTTTACTAGGTTGTTAATATATGTGGGAAGAGGCAGGAGAAAAAATGCCTTAGGTATTAGAACAAGCTGTTGGGGAACGCGCTTCTCAGGAATAGGGAAAAGGGAACAAATATTGGACAGACCTGAATTGTAGTGATTTGACTAACTAATCAAAATGGTGAGGGTGTAGGAGATGGAGCCATTGTTCCACAGAGATCAGATAACCAGACACAAGCCAGTTACCTCAGAAGGTTTTTTTGCTTCACATCCTCTTGTCTTGCTCCCTTCGTCTCTTAAATACTCTTCTAACTTCTGGCAAGGTCTAGTGAATGACACATGGCAGGAAGCACTTTTATTTGAAACAGCTCTCCCAGGATAACCAGGCTTTCCTCCATTTTTACATATAAAAATCTAAAACTATCTTGGCATCATCCAACTTTTTTCATCCTTTCGTATAGCTATGTCAATCTTGGCAGCATTTAAAAACAAGGAAACTGAACTGGTTTCTCCAGGATGCAAGCATGTTGAGGCCTACTGCACGTACATGATAGCTGGTTTCCAGAAGACTCCAGACAGAAGCCAGCTGTCAAACGAAAAGATCAAATCAATGACTGAGAATACCCCATGGATTATTTTAATTAACTACTTCATAATCAACATATGTAAATGTATTCACTCCACAAATAAGATCATGCTACTGACAGGCTCTGCTCTAGCTGTTTGAAATTCAGCATCTGTGAATACATATGGAGAGACTCATTTATTCATGACTAGGTATTTATGGGCTGTATTACCTTTCTAATGAGGAAAATTAAAACAGGTGTGGAAGAAAGAACGGGCTTCAAAATGCAATCAGGATTTGAATACTAGCTGTACTGTATTAGCTAGTTCATCTTGAGAGCCATTTAATGTCTCAGAATCTATTTCCACATCAGTCTCACAGCTTAATGAAGGTGTTTACCACATAGACGCTCTATAAATGCTCCCCAGCAGGTTGTGATCTCTGAAATTCAAGAATCCCCTTCCAGCTCTCTCCTGATGAGTCCTTTCCCCCACTTCCTTCAGGTGGCATGCCAGTTGCACCCCCTCAGGCAGGACCATGGAGCCCATCATCTTTAGTCTTCACTCAGCCTACTTCCGTGGTCCCGGGAGCCGTGATGGGTGGTCAATCCTCAGGATTCGGGCAGCCCATCATCTTTAACACAAACCCAGCTGTTCCAGGTTGGAACCAGCCTTCTGCTTCCCCTCCAGCCCCTGCTGTTTGGGGCCCATCAGCATCTGTGGCACCCAACACATGGTCATCAACAAGCCCTTTGGGGAATCCTTTCCAGAGCAATATTTTTCCAGCTGCTGCGCAGCCTGCTTCCATGCTCTCCTCTCTCCTGGCCACTCCTCCTCAACCACCTCCCAGAACTGGCCCTCCAAAGGACATCTCCAGCGATGCCTTCACTGCCTTGGACCCACTTGGGGATAAAGAAGTAAAGGAAGTGAAGGAAATGTTTAAGAACTTCCAACTGCGGCAGCCCCCTGCGGTGCCCGCAAGGAAGGGAGAGCAGACTTCCTCCGGGACTTCAAGTGCCTTCTCCCATTATTTCAACAGCAGAGTTGGCATTCCTCAGGAGAATGCGGACCAGGATGACTTTGATGCTAATCAGCTGCTGAAAAAGATCAGTGGTAAGCTAGCTACCCACCTCTCTGTCTACTGCACTAACAAGTGTTTCCACTGTCATATGAATATGCAGAGCTTCTTTTTTTTTTGAGAGACAATTTAACCATTCACCTTAGGGAGCGAACCTTTACCTTCGCTATTTCTGAGGGCTGGCCCACTGGCCCAATGCTGCCCTCTTGTGACAAATCTTAAAAGGGCTGCCAAGACTTCTTGAAATTCAGTGGGGTGTGGCATCTGGAGAGCTGTATAAAAATGCCTCAGCCACACTCCAAGGCCTTAACTGCGGGAATTCTGAATCGCTCACACTTAAGAAGTATGCATGGCTTCCTCTTCTGAGAAGGGATGAATCTGCCTGTAATAATCATTGGGAGGCCTAGTATTTGGTGGTAACTTTTGTTCTATGGGTGTAAATTTTAAAAGTAAGGAACTTAATTTCTAAGATAAGCCTGACTGGAGAACTTTCGACTATATTTAGGGAGAGCTTGCCTACTGACTACTGGAGATTCTTTTCCTTCTAGAACCACCAAAGCCAGCTCCCAGACAAGGTGCCATGCCAGTTACCAAATCTGCTGACAATGCATTTGAGAACCCTTTCTCTAATGATCCTTTCAGTTCATCACAAGCCTCTGTGAGTATCAACTTCAAGAAGCCATTGTTCCAAAGTACATGCACTACAGGGCTCCCACCTCCTGAATTAACTTTGCTTGTCTAAAAACTCTTTGATGGTAAAGGATGTTTGAATACGATTTATCACTGAGAACCATCACAACTCAAACTGGGGAAATGATTATTTTTGTGGGGACTACTATCCTGAACTTGAGAAATGAACACCATACAGAAAAAGTCCTTTGTATCACGTTTAGCCTGGCTCATGATAGCATTCTGGGAAAATAATTGAGCTGAAATATTATCTTAAAATAAAATCATTCAAAGATTTAAGTTTCTGATTTCCCAGCCATGATTCTTTAGCTCATAAAAATAATATTTCCTATCTGGAGGAGGCAAACAATTCACATGACCTTGGCTTTGATGTTATTAATAAATATAGCATATCACCAATTACAAGCAGGCAAACACAAATCATTGTAAACTGTACAATATCCGATTTGTCTGGGACCTAAGTGATTTTTAAAGGAATTTGAGAAGTCTTAATTACAGGGGTTTTCTTATAAGTGTAATTAATCTTATTGTCTGGATGGTTTTATCTTCATAGATGACTTCTTCTCAACCCACATCTCCTGATGTACATAAGGATCCTTTTGGAAATCCTTTTGCCTAGCTTCTGTAAGTGGAAGATCCTGTTAAGCTTAGATTTGATGAGTAAGGGTGACCCAGGGGGTGCAGATGAAATTTTAGTTTTGGATTGGGAAGAGGTTAAATCCCTCTGTAATTTAGTAGTAATAGATATGGAAATCTATGCTTAACTAATTCAATAATGAGTGGGCTGGGCACTTAAGAATAGAATTCTTATACATAAAAAAATAGTAATATTCCCATGGGATATGGATTTCTATCATCTCCTACTCCTATTTCTCATATTTCAGTTCTATATGGAAATAAAACTCCACACAAAACAGCTCTCTTGTTTTCTTACCTTCATATTGAAGTGATGATCACAACTCTTCTGCCTCCTAAAGCAGTATTTCTTCCTTTGTGGGGGGCCTCAAACTTAGTCTGAAATTGTCTGATGGTATTAAATCCAAAAGTGGGGACAGCTGCCAGTTTCTCCAAAAGCAGTGCAAGTCCAGATGAGTCTACAGGTCAGTTCTCACTCGTAGGTTTTACCCTAGGTAAATTATTAGGTGTAACTCTCCGAGGCTGCTGGGAGGGCTCAGCATGACTGTTTCTTTCTCAGCGTGAGGGGAAGCAACTTCCCCTGATCTTAAAAGGTTGAAGTTAGTGGAGGAAAGGAGGTCTGTCTGCCTTTTAAAGGACATAGGGCAGAGCTAGTAGGGGAGAACTGCAGAAGAAAGCAGAAGAGCCCAAGCCCATTTTTTTTTCCAGTCTGGCCCCATCCACGTGGGACAACTAAACTATGTTGTGGCCCGTGTAGAATTAAACTATTTTAAAAAGATAAGTATCTTAAACCTGACATCAATAATTAAGATCAAGTTATTTGCAATTTGGTTAATCCTCTGCACTCTGCTTCTACAACGACAGTGTCTCTCCAAGAGCTTCTCCATAAAACCTGCCTCTGAACATGGGGTGAGACTATTGAAAAGGCAGATTCCTGGGCCCCACCCGAGCCCTAGGGAATCTCCCTCTGGGTGTTGAAGCTTCCTTTTAACAAGCATCCCCTGTGATTTCTAATGCTAATAAAGCAGTGTGAGATAGTGTAGGGTGCCAAGTCTTAACAGAGCCTCCTGCTGGCCCACCTCCCTGCCACGGGAGGCACGCCCAATCTAACACAGTGGAATAAACTACACTAGGTGGCTAGGAGGATTGTTTGCTCTCAAACTGTCTAGATTTCTCTTTGGAGGCCCTTTCTTCCTTAGATCTTGAAGGAAGGATCATTTTGGTCAACCTGCTAAACCTACAGATTGGAGTGGGGGAGGACAACTATCTTGGGAGAAAAGAATTGACATTAGGGAGCATTTGTGTTATTCTTTCTTACAGATTTAACATTTATCTTATTCAGTGCTCTTGCATCAGCCCTAGGGAATAGTATTATTGACATTTTAAGTAATGACTTGATATTTAATGCATAGATATTCAAATCCAAAATTCTAACCATGTTTTTTTCTTCTCTGTAATTTTCTAGGAATTTGGCATGCTGACTTTCCAGAGGAACAAAAAGACTGGCTTTAGGAGTCAAGGACAAAGCTAATAGCCAACAAGTCCCGACCTCTGCCCATGCTCCAGCTTTGACATATTATCTGTTGCCTTATTTCTTGCTGCCTCTTGCACTTGTAAAATGCCTTTCATTTTCTATTTAGGTTAAAGCTAAATTGAATCTATGGCTTTAAATAAATTAAGAACCTAAACTCTCTAGCATTTTTAAATGTAAATGAAGTAGTTTCCATACTTGAACCCTTGCCTTTTGTATCCCTAAAACCTTCTAGAACACTTTATCATGTACCCTCTGGTTAAGAGATGCAGCCACCACAAACCCTTTGATTATACTGTTTTGAATAAATTTTAAAATCTTTACTGTTCAAAGTTGTTTTGGGTATTCTGTTTTACAGCATGCAACCTAAAGATTTTAGTAGAACCAAACACCTAATTTAATCTTGCTTCAGACCATCACTTACAGAGTATTTGTCAAGTAAAATCTAAGCATGTCCAACTTCTCCTTAGGCATTTTGGAATCTGACACATGTAAGAACCTATTTAAAAGCATAACTCTCTTTCTGAAGGTCATTTTTCTCTCAAGGGCAATCTCTTGCTAGCTTTTGCCAATGAGGGAAAAGCATTATTCATATCTCCTCCTTCCTCCTTTCCTTCTGATTCCTTTTTCAGTCAGTTTTGCTCCTGGATTCATATAACAAAATTCCCTTCACAAGTAACAGCTTTTTATGGATCAAAAAAACCCAATGACTCACAGGTCTGAAACCTCTCCACCATCTCAGTAATCACTAATTCCAGTAACTAGAATTGCAAAAGGGCACAATCTTTATCTTTTCTGTGGGATAGGAGGCCATCCTTTGGAGCTGAAGTCCCTGATGAGCAATTAATGTTGAAGTAAACTGAACTCAACTCAGCAGTGAATGATTGTATTCTTAAGAGCAATACATCACAAAGTTAAATGTGATTGTACCAAGCATATAGATGCTTTTTTGGGTCAGTGCTACACCTTAATGAAGTAACTGGAAAACTTTCTCGAAGCCACAATCTCATAGTTGGTAGGAAGATAAATTGGGCAGAGGGAGGAGGAGGGAGAAGCAGGAGAGCCGTAGAACAAGTTTTTGGAGGTATCACTGAAAATCTAATGTCTGCAGTATTTCTCTCATCCTTGGACACTTTCCCAGTTCATTTTCAGTCCTATTGCTCACACAGTTCTGAAGGGTTTGTTCTTGCCAAAAAGAGTTTTATTTTGTTTTTTGTTGGTTTTTTTAATGCTGTCTCTTGATACCTAATGCTCAGGTCCTTGTGGATGTTAATCAACCACAGACAATGTTACCTCTGGGTAGAAGAAGAGGGTGACTGCTAAGGATCTAAACAGGATAGTGCCCTCATGAACCTCTCTGGATTAACCCCAAGCAGCCCAAGCTGAAGTCCCGGGGTTTTCTGTTTAATGGTAATAGCTGATCATGTATGGCATAATTTCTATCTGGCTTCCTACTCAGTCATTATAAACACATATTTAAAGTAGTATTTTATAGTCCAAATACTTAAATGTGCTAAACTGGAGGCATTTATTTCTAGGAAGTTGAATTTTTGAAAGTAGAAAAAGTTTTGAAAGAAAAAATCAGCCACACACTGTTTTGTACATACTCATTTCTTTGTGCACTTTTCCATATGCAAATAAAGCTACGTATCTACTCATGTCAATAAACTGGAGTGGCAGAATCTCAAGTCTTACTATCAGTTTATTCTAATACTTGACCCCCGCTTTGAACTGATACATTAGAGTCAAGGCATAAAATACACCAGTCTAAGGTGAGCAAAAGTTAGTAATGATGCATTCTAGATCGTCACAAAGCTGAAAAGAAAGTAGAAATCCATGAAATAACACCATGAATAAATTATTGTCTTATATCTTTCAATACCTATTCTCCTCTCTCAGCCCTATACATATTCTCTTCCTGGGAATTCAGTAGGAGTCCAGGGGGGAGACTTGTCCCAGAGCAACCTTGACTGACATCTAGTATAGAAGTCATTTATCAGTGAGCACTTGGTTCACATCTTTTACCGTTTGCCTCCCTTTGTTCTTTATTCAGAGCATGTTTGACCTCGCCAAGTCCCAGTGGCATGGACTGGTCCAGGCTAGTGCAGGCCGCTCGGGAGAGCTTCTATGTCCGCTAGGCAGGCCAATGATCAGACATCTGTAGCAGAGGGACACTCTTAAACTCTCTCCTGGTACAAAAGTTTAAGACTGTTCTTCTTTTCAAGAAGACCTAAATCTACAGGAAAGATGACCTCAAGACATGTCTTGCTTGGATATGGAAGTCTTAGTGTTAAACTTGACTTTTCTAAGGAGGAAGACAAACCTGGGGGTGGAGGGGGTCACTGATGGGTGTTTACTCTTACGGGATGTTCAGTACTATTACCTTACCTTTCCTCTTAAGTGAAACATTCGTCTTTCTCACAACAATGAGTAGAATATAGAGAAAGAGATGCCACACAAAAGGAGCCCCCAGTAAGCCACCAATGAACTGGAGAAGGCTGCTGATAAGAACATGTTGCACAGATTATGTGACTTATCCGGATGTTTGGCAGTGTGTCGAACCCACGGAGCTTGTGGACTATTTTCACGTGGCTTAATCTGCAGGATCTCACCAGAGGTTAACCCTTGCTCATGTGAACAAGGAGAAGACATCCACTGTAGTGCGGTAAGAACTGCTGTTGACCTATTGGGGAGAGGTGCTCACTGGAGTGTCCCTGTGAAGTAGGAACAAACATCTTCTTTACGGTCTCTTTAGTAACAATGGCTTTTCCACCTGTATGCCAGAAGTTCAGTTTTTAGGGTAATCCTGTTAAACCTGAAGGAAGGTTTCATTTAGGCAGAAGATATATCAAAGCTAAAAGCTGAACTTGAGCAGCCAGTGCACCTCCAAATTCCTCACATAAAGGCAATGCAAAGGGAGAAGGGATTGATTTTTCTCAAGATTATCTTGCATTTATGAAGTGCTTTACCGTTTACACAACGTAACTTCATTCTATTGATACAATAATCTTGTGAGGTGGGATCTGCTATTGCTCCATCTCATCCAAGAATGGTATCCAGCTATACAAGGGCTGCAATCTACTCCAACTCTTAAGGAAGTCATTTCAATGGTATTTTATTGTAAAACTATGCATTATAGTAAGGAGACCTTCTCAGTCAGCGATTTCCAATTTCCATGCTAAATAGAGAGAGCCAAGCAGAGTGTGATTCTGTGTCTTTCCTGTGCTGAAAGCAGGGAGGGGGGAAGAGCAGAGGAAGTAGCTAACTCAGGAGTTTGACCCTGCAGTAAGCTGATGAGTGAGGACTCTGACCCGTGTTCCTGGAACAGGTTCAATCCAAAGTCCTCTAGTGAAAGACAGGAGCTCCCCCAAAGTCCCTGGTAAATATGTAAGCTATTCCCACTAGAGGAGATTGCCTAATAGTAAAACGCCAAATTCTTTCTGGGAAATGTTTTAACTAACTCCCTTCTATTAAAAATAACTAAGGCTCATGTTCTAAGTTGATATGCCAAACATGGTCACACAGCAGCAGACTGGTGACCTGCTCTAACTACAGCAGTGCTGCTGGACAAGGTCCAGCCATGTGTCATCTCACCTAATGAGGGCTGGAGCCCCTCATTTGTCCTTGCCTCTCTGAAAGTATGTACTTAATTATTGAGCCTCTACAATAAGCTGAAATCATATGAGTGCCAGTCTCCAAGAGACAACAGTGTGGGCTAATCTCTGGCAAAGAAACTGGGTTTCTGTGGTGACCAGAGATGAGGTGGTTATAAAAGAAAAACAAAACAGCCTCACTCTGATAGTCATGTTTTCTGTCAATTCTCCCTCCACGTGGTTGACTTCAGTCACTGTTATTTTACCTCATTTGTGACAGGGAAGGATTATTGCCATTCTGAAAGATACAAGGGACCTGAGTGGGCTGTGGCTGTTTCTGGGGTGTGTCTGAGGCTTCCCTGACCAGGTTCGTACTTACAACCTATTGATCATCACAGAACCTTGTGTTTGGGAGCCAGTAAGGGGGCTTTTGGAACAGGAGCTGATAGAGAGAGGGGAAGAGGAGAATCAAAGTGTCTGTGCAGTAGAAACACTGTGTAACACTAACCCAACTATTTTTAATCCACTTCTCAACACATGTACATTCTACCAGTACACTCTACCTTTCATTTACTAATGAGTAAAGAAAAATGGGGGAAAACAAGGAACTATGGTTTACCCTTTCTTCCCTTTTCTTCTATGCTGTTATATCCACTGTATGAAGATGGCTAATGCAGGGAAGTAATACTATAAGAATGGTAAGATATAACAACATCTCTCCATCATTTGTGTTTTGTGGTGGGGGGATGCACATGTTAGTTCAGACAGTGTGTGGGTCCTCTCAGGGCTGTCACTCAGTCATAGACATAGTACTCCCACCTCACACTCACTTTTCCTTTGAGTCACTGAATTGCTATGTATCATGGAGCCACCTGAATTCCTTGTTCATGGGACAACATAAACACTGCCCACAGGGTAGCATGGAAGAGGAGACACAATGCTTGTTCCCTCTGCTCATGTGTGGATTTTGCTTTCAAAACAAAGTCCAAACATAAAAATTAAACATTTCAAGATAGCAACAATAGAGCATTAAACCCAGCACAGGCCTTTCTGAGTGCCGAGCCCTGTGCTGGTAGCATGCCCTTGAAGCCAGCCCTGGCAAGGGGGCCTTGGACATGTGTGATGGATTACCTAATAGATCTTCCACACATGCAGGTGATAGTTTAACCCAAGTTGGCCCATCTCCAAATGCAGATCACAAGGGTCTTTGACTCCACAGAGCCCTCAGAGCAGAAGAGAAGCATACGAGTGGAGAGCAGAGTCAGCAAATCCCATGGTATGGCACCCTGACTAGAAGGTAGGAGCTCAAGAATGCAGTGGGCTGGTTTCTGTGTGTCAGCATGATCACCAGAGACAGTGAAAGTCAGAAGAGAGCAGGGAACTCAATGCCACTGCACAGGAGGCTTTGATGGTGACATAACCTCATTTGAACTCGATATGCCCTTTCAGTTGGAAGGATACTGGGGGAGAACTGTAAAACTCCTGAGCTCTCACTTGCTGAAGTGCTGCGCAATTCTCCAGGTTCCTTGACTGCAAGCACAGCCCTGCACGCTTTGGACAACAATAGTGAATTCACAGATGGGCCCCAGGGGTCATTGAACAATAACAGCAAACATCTTCCCAGCACTTGCCATCTACAGAGGCCAAGTGTGTTACATAAAAAATTCAATTTTCATATCAGCACTGTGAGGTGGTCTGCTATTTCCACCACCATTTTATAGACGAGGACTCTGAG